TCTCCCAGCCCCACTCAAATTACAAACAACCGTAACAACAAACAACATTATCAACGTCCATCCACTCTGCATGGTCTAAAACATAAACTGCATTCGACTGGTTGCACAAAAACGTTACATTCGGCTAGTCCTTCATGTCCAAATGTTCCAAACCGACGTAAGTCTGTCGGTCACATTCCGTTATCTCCTTTAGCAAGAACACCTTCGCCTTCACCACTGCCAGCGTCCCCTACTAGATCTCCAAGTCCTCTAGCATTTCCGATAGGTCACCAACCAGGTAGCTCAAATACAACGCAATCGTATAGTCCCAGTGCTGGCAACACACCTATTACAATGGCGTCGAACCAAGCAAAAAAAGGATTTGTGAGACCTAAGGCTGCCGAACCAGGATCTCCTTTGTTACGTAGAGCACTCTCGCCTGATCGCCTCCATCCTCGCAGCGCAGAAAGTAAATGCGCGCTCATATCTCCTTTATGTTCATCTAGTAAATCGCCGGTAGTTAAAACGCAAACTCGCGGCGGCAGTAGCGCAGTATGGAGATCTGCCTCGCAACCGGAACGTGACAAGGATGCAGAGCTTGAGTCGTCCGTTCCGTCGAGCAACGAAATTGTTAGCAGTAGTAATAGTGCATCCGAAAATCGGTTATCGCTGAACTTATCTAGCACCAGTGAGCCCCTTCCACGAATTGCAGAGGAGAAGGATTCACCTACAAACAGCGCTCAAGAGTGTAATAAGTCTGGGCAACTGAATGATAAAAGTTGCGTTAATCCAAAAGGAAGTGATGGAAATACAGAATGTCTCAAAGGCAAATCCTTAGGTGCTAAGGATAATAAATGTGGTAGTAAACTTCCACAAAAATAATAGTAAGACCATGAACCAGAGGTTGGTTGTGCTTTATAGAATTAAAGAGTTGTATTATTTTTGATGCAATATTTATTTTAGCGGTGGGCAATATTAAGTTTAGATATAATGATTGTAATATAATGTGATTAATGAAGTATGTGATTATTTCTCCCGTGTTAACATATTTTATATTTTTAAGTTGACCATGTAACCTCCGTTGCATGAATCTTGTAGTTTTTGTGCCACCTCACAATATATCTGGCTATTTGTGATTTTGAACAGCCCAAATCCCAATTAAATTTCAGGTTTCTTTTAATGCTTTGTGTTTTACAAATCTAAACTCGTGGTGTAGTAATGTAAAACGTGAAGTATATTCAGTTGTAGATCTCACCTTGATTCTAGGATAACCAACTGTTAGAAGTTTAGAAGGGTGTCCTTCCTGTAATTCATTCCAATATAATGTTACTTTGATAAACGTTCACGTTTTTTGTGTTAAAACACAACCTTCTTTACTGTGTACAATTGGTTTATATTACACTAACAATACCTTAAATTGATAGATGTGAATATGGAAGATTATTGTTTGTAGGTATTATATTGAACCAGGGTGTCATAGTATATATTGTTAATGTAAGTTACAAATTGTCAGAAAACTATATTTCTAGTTAACAAAATTTACCTTCGTGGGGATTTTTAAAATGTTTTCAAAATTGGATCTCAAAGAGTTTAAGTAAGTACGTGTTAATCGTTCATATATGGAGAGAGATATAAATATAGTATAAGGGATGCTCATATTTATGTATGGGATTAGTACTTAACAATACACCTTTCAATATTTTCATAAACAAAATAATTATTTAAGGGAGAAATTAATTTTTTACCATGTATATATCATTTACAATGTTTTTCATCGTAATACTTAAATTGTTTTCAAGTATTTTTCCTATATTTGCTATTGCATTGTAATTTCTAACTATTTTTGCTTGAACATATTCAAATCAAGTAAGTGTTAATAATGTATTTTAGACATAAAAATTCGCATTCTAGTGAAATTATTTATTTTTATGTTCAATAAAATTTTATTGAATGTCTTAATTTAATTTATCAATAAAAACCTGTCGGAAAACTTACCACTCCTTCCCAGTCACCACCAAAAATTTAAAATCGGTGAAATTTAGATCGGCAATACAAATTGTTTGAAATGAAGGGAACTGAAAATATGCATGAGTTGTTAGCTACACCCAACTCTTATCTTGGACAAAAATTTAAAATGTTTTTGTAATTTTGATTTTGGTCATGGTCTTATACACAGGTCTCGAATCTCGTCACAGGTGGCGCATGAGTAGAGGAATGTATGTAAATTTATAAGTGCTACTTTACGGGTTAAAGGTGCGATTCCGAAGCGTTCGGCAGATGGCGTGTGGCGTATTAATTTGATCAATGATCTTTGCTTTGATGTATTTATTTGTATGAGACTGATCCCAAGATACCACTGCAACAGGCCGTCACTTGGTTTGACACTTCAATTAAAACAGAATTTTTTAACAACCTAACATCAACCCCAATTAGAGAAACGTCTTAATAATTTATTAATAGTGCAAGAAACTAAATACAGCACATACTTACAAATTTCCAACGGGGCATTATGATCTACAGGCCAGGTGGCAATCGCCACCCGCCCCCCCCGAGCCAGTGCGCCCCTGGTTATACACTGCCTTTTTTTGAACCCCGAAATAAAAATTGTTTCAGATCGACCCGGAAAAAAAAATTTCTTATAGAATGTGGCCTGTAGAATCCATAATTTCAAACAGTTCCAAGATTGGGCTACTAGTTCAAAAGTTACAGCCCTTTGAATTTTTTTTCGAAATTGGTTTCTAGTCTATAACTTTTGATTGAGAAGTCTGATCGAAAAAGTACGAATTGATTTGGATTCTACGCACCAAATTAATAAGAAAAAGTGTTTTCCCGAGAAATTTTGGTGTAGTCGATTTTTGGTAAAAAAGGAAGGTTATACACTGCCTTTTTTTGAGGCCCGAAAAAAAATTGTCTCAGATCGACCCGGAAAAAAATTTTCTTATAGAATGTGGCCTGTAGAATCCATAATTTCAAACAGTTCCAAGATTGGGCTACTAGTTCAAAAGTTACAGCCCTTTAAATTTTTTTTCGAAATTGGTTTCTAGTCTATAACTTTTGATTGAGAAGTCTGATCGAAAAAGTACGAATTGATTTGGATTCTACGCACCCAAATTAATAAGAAAAAGTGTTTTCCCGAGAAATTTTGGTGCAGTCGATTTTTGGTAAAAAAGGAAGGTTATACACTGCCTTTTTTTGAACCCCGAAATAAAAATTGTCTCAGATCGACCCGGAAAAAAAATTTTCTTATAGAATGTGGCCTGTAGAATCCATAATTTCAAACAGTTCCAAGATTGGACTACTAGTTCAAAAGTTACAACCCTTTGAATTTTTTTTCGAAATTGGTTTCTAGTCTATAACTTTTGATTGAGAAGTCTGATCGAAAAAGTACGAATTGATTTGGATTCTACGCACCCAACCCAAATTAATAAGAAAAAGTGTTTTCCCGAGAAATTTTGGTGTAGTTGAATTTTGGTAAAAAAGGAAGGTTATACACAGGGGCGGACTGGGTACTTAGTATTAGTGTAGTAATGAAGCTGGCGAGGGGGGGGGGTAGCTCTGAGGTGCACCACAGAAACATTTTAAAGTACTCCTTTCTCGAAAATCAATTACCATACAGTTTTTTTTAAATTGCAGCTGATAATTAAAAGTAACAAAATATACAATCCACACGAGGTGCGTCGCCTATCATTGTATTTCAGCACTTTCAAAATACTACGACAAAAAATGATAAATTCATTGTAAAACACTTCAATTAAAACAGAATTTTTTAACAACCTAACATCAACCCCAATTAGAGAAACGTGTTAATAATTTATTAATAGTGCAAGAAACTAAATACAGCACATACTTATAAATTTCCAACGGGCCATTATGATCTACAGGCTAGGTGGCAATCGCCACCCGCCCCCCCGTGCCAGTCCGACCCTGGTCCCTGGTTCGAATCCGGGTTCGGGCATGGATATTTGTAAATGTATAGTGGGTTGGGTTGGTAGAGCAGCCTTGGCTGAAACCGCGCCCACTCAAAAATAAAGGCAAAATAAAAAAAATAAAAAATCCCCACCATTGGATGCACCTTGTCGTGGTGGTGGGGCTTAGTAGTCACAATTTCGTGGCGAAGCTAAGCATCCTTACATCTTATGCGGGTGCTAGACTCCATTGCTTTAACCCATACAATCTGATCCCTGCTATCCGATCCTATAGTAAATCTGGTTCAAAGGACGCAGTATATCTTTCAAATTCTTCATGGAGTAATAATAATAATAATAATAATAATGTTTATTTGTTTAAGTAAATACTTTTACAAATTGTGGTTTCTTAACAAAAAATTACAAATGCAAATAAAACAATTTTCCAATTTAATATAATATTGACAGCAGCAATGAAAGATAAGCAAATGATTATTTAGGAAATTCTTACTTCACAGAAAAAAAAGGAAAGTCATTCGTTAAAAATAAAAGCTCTTATTTTAAGGGCGCCAAAAATATAATAATAGAGATCACTCAGTTGCTGTGCATTGTTTACTGTGAGAACAGATTCAACGGTAAGCGGAGGTTCAAGTCTATGTAGATACTGGGTGCGCAACACGGTGTATATGGGGCACGTCAGCAGGAAATGTTCAAGTGTTTCGTTTTCTTTCAGATTGCACACGGTACACAAGCACTCAGTATTAATCACATACGAACATCTATTTATATAGAACCGAATTTCTTTTAGGCCTGAAATTCTTAGTTGACTGACTAATCGCACTTTATTTATTGGGAGCTTAAACGTCATATACACTTCCATATTAGTTAAACTGCTAATATTACGGTAGATGGGGGAATATTTTGATGTAATGGCCGACTCCACGTCCCTACTCAATTCTTGGTTTGTTACCTTTTCTAGTATGTCGTCTTTTGCTTTTTGTAGTGTGATGTCTCTGACGCAAAGTATATTATTTACCAGTGAGTGTTCTCCAATTTCTAATAGAATTTCCTTCACTTGAGTTACCCAGTTCATTGTTGGATTGTTATGAGAACTTCTATCTAGATTAAGTAAGCCATGGTAAGAATGCTTTAACAGTCTATGTTCGGGTAGTCTTAAGATTTTTTCCCACAGGTTGAGAGTATTTTTAATAATTTGTATTTTTAGATGTATCTGTCCGGTTTCCATTCTCACCATGTAGTTGGGGGTGTTGCTTGGCCAATGAAATATTTGTTTATAATATTTTACTTGAACTCTCTCCACCATCTCTAAATATCTCAGCGACCATATCTCTGCACCGTAAAGTAGTACTGAGGACACAATGGCTTTAAATAACCTAGTTTTTGTTTCAAGGCATTCCGATTTTACTTTTATTAAAGTGCTTTTGACCCTTGCTATTGCCCTGGAAGATTTTTCAATGAAACTTTCGCAAGCTTTCTTGAAGACACCGGATGATGAGAAAGTTATACCTAGGTAAGTATATTCTTCTACAATTTCCAAAGTAGAATTGTTGAACACAAATACTCCCAGAGTTTTTTTCTTCCTGCCTCTATGGAAAGCCATAACCTTGGTTTTATTAATATTTATGGTAAGCTTATTCTCCTCGCAATAGTTATTTAGGATGTTCAATTTTCTGTTGGCGTCGAACACATTGTTTGCGAAAATAACCGCGTCGTCTGCATAAAGGAGCATGATCAGTGATCTAATATGTGTTAATTTGACACCATCACAATGGTTCTTCTGATAGTAAGAAATTATATCCGATATATATATCGCAAACAGTAGAGGTGAGAGACAGTCGCCTTGCATAACTCCTGTAGTCATGTCTATAGCTTCGGTGCTTTCAAGATTATTATTTATAGTGATTTTTGTCTTCTCGTATATGGCTTTTACTGTTCTGATGATCTTTGAGCTTATTCCAATGGCATGTAGCTTATTCCATAGTTTACTATGATTTATTGTGTCAAACGCTTTCTGAAAGTCTACAAATATTGCATAAAGGTAGGACGATTTTGGAGCTGTATTGATTGAAACGGCTGCATTTAAAATAAATATGTTTTCACTACACCCGCGGCCCTTTCTGAAGCCCGCTTGTTCATCTGGTAGCACATTATTTTCTTCACACCATTTATATAACCGATTATAAATTATGTTTGTAAATAGTTTTGTGATGCTATTCAGTAGAGCTATGCTCCGATAATTATGCGGATTCATTCTGTCGCCCTTTTTGAACACCATTTGCATTTTCACGTTTGCCCAGCTTTGAGGAACATCTTCTGTTTGTAGTACCCTATTAAATAGTGTTTGCAAGTAGTGAATCCACGAACTCGGGAGAGATTTATAGTATTCATTGGGGATGCCATCTGGCCCAGGACTTTTATTGAGTTTAAGATGATTAATGCTCCATTCTATTTCTGACAAACTGATTGCGGCATCCAAATGTGGGTGTGTAATATTTGGATACAGGGTAATCTCTATTCTTCGGGTAGTATACAGATCTTTAAGAAACTGGTACCATGTTTCTGTTTGGATAGGACAATTTTGGTTTTTTGTTTTGCCGTAACGCCTGACCGTTTTCCAAAACGCTGATGAGTTTTGAACGTTTTCTATATTTTCCCAAATTCTGTCGTTGAAAGCTTGCTTCTTTTGTTTTAACAGTGAAA